CGAATCCTACTAAAAGAAGTCTGATGAGGAAATGTGGTGATTTCCGAAATAGCTATCACTTCTACAATTTTTTAAAATTATTGTTGCTTTTCCACAATAAGTTTTTCATTAAAAACGGCCTCAAGCTCAATAAAAACTGTTGAATATAATTATTACAAGGCCATAAAATAACAAAAACCAATATTTTAAAATATTTACAAATTTTAACTTCATAAGCTGCTATAGTTTGGTGGCAAATATTTCTTTTGTTTTGTTTCGATTTCACCCATTCCTAGGCAACCAGCCGATTTCGAAGATGTTTTCGCTCTTACTCTCCTTTTGCTTCGATCGTAACTCAGAATACCAAATTACGATTGTTGCGGAGTAGAATGCGGGAACGTAATCGAAATGCAGAATAGGCTGATTATTCAGCCCTATTCTGCATTTCCACTCGAATCGAAATTTTCTCCGTTTGGTAACTTTGGTATTCTGCGTTCCGTTTCCTTTCGATCAATCTTCGAAACTCACGATTCTACATTTCGATCGTAGTTCCGTTTTTCTAAGTTGCAAATTTGTTGACGGAGAACGTTTCGATTGTTATTTTCGTGGGTTTAAATAATAAAAGTTTATAAAAAAAATTAAGTAAAATTATGCACAGTATATGATTGTAAGTCATTATAAATGAATTTTCCCGATTTCTGTCTTTTCGCAGCGGTAATACGGGCAATACGTAAAATTGGCTCAAATATTGGCAACCAAAAGGGATATTGCGCGAGGTTGTCAAAGAGGAAGCACAGGCGTTTTTGTTTTCATTATCTATAAATAAGACTGTAAAATGCACTGAAGAAAATTTATTCTTTGTATATAAAGTTAATAGAGGTATGTACATTAGAGTGGTTCATAAAAACACTCTTTGGAAATTCATAAACGCTACATCAGAATATTGTTATTTGTGATAAAAAAAGAGACACGTATTTTTTTCTTTTGAAAAAAAAGTTTTCTTAGAGGTCGCGCTGGTCGGTTTTTTATAAAAACGCTGATGTTCCCAATTTTTTTATTTTCTCGACATGTTAAAATGCAGCTAAAAATGTGGTTTTTTCATATAATTACACTGGTATTATTGGGGAACTTTCCCTTAATTACACACCTGTCTTGGACTATTAGAATGGGTCTAGTTCCCGAAAATATGCTCTCGAAAAGAGACTAGTAAAATTAAAACGTTGATACTGAACGATTTACGCATTGTCATGGGTTGGAACTTGTTACCAGGGGGTTTCTGGGGTTGCTAGTTTTTCGAAATTCAGAATGGCGGATCCAAAATGGCGGTCCATTTTTTTTTATATGATTGGATTTGTTCGAAACCCGGCACTCGAGAGTTTTTGTGGTCGCCGATTACGAATCTGAAGTCAATTTTTTTGTAATTAAAAATGGCGGATTCAATATGGCGATCAAATTTAAAAAAAGTACTAAAATTAAAACGTTGATACTGAACGTTTTAAAAATTGTCAAGGGTTAAAACACGTTTCCAGTGGGTTTCTTGGGTTGCTGATTACGAATCTGATATCAGATTTTCAAAATCCAAAAAGAGCTTCAAACAAATCCAATCATTTTTTTTAAAGATGGTCGCCATTGGTATGTAATTAAGGGAATGTTCCCCAATAATACCACAGTAATTATATGTAAAAAACAAATTTTTAGCTTCATTTTAACATGTTAAGAAAATAAAAAATTTTAGAACATCAGCGTTTTTATAAAAAACTGACCAGCGCGACCTCTAAGAAAACTTTTTTTCAATATAAAAAAACACGTTTCTCTTTTTTATCACAAATAACAATAATTTGAGGTAGCGTTTATGAATTTCCAAAAGAATTTTTTTTTGAACCACTCTAAGGTACATACATACATACATAAAATGTGAAGTTACTTAAAAAAATATGCTTTTATTATTGCACTCGTTTTTACTAACTTTTTAAAAAGAGGTGCGTATGTTGTCTCCAATTCGATTTGCTATGGAGCTTTGTTCTTCCCCTCCTCCTGACGGCTTTCAAAATGGAATTCATTTAGGTTCAAATCTTCCATTCTGTAGTAAATGCAAATGTTGTGGAGTGCTCAAACAACGTTTATAATTTCACTGGATTTGAGCGATGAGTAATACAGTCCATGATGAATTTATGACTCTTCACCCATCTGAAAAAGATCAAACATGTCCCTAAATCTCCGTCTTTCAATTTCCGCATCAGTAATCTGGGACTCGTTCTCCTCTTCAAGTAATAACGCCGCGGCTATGGATTTCATTGTTATAATTATGTTTCCACTTAAATTAAGCACAAACGAAATTTTATTTTTAAATTACAATGATGTTGGATATATTTAGTTATTTTAAAATAATTACAAACTTTAACTTCATAAGGTGATATAGTTTGGTGGCAAATATTTCTTTTGTTTTGTTTCGATTTCACACATTCCTAGGCAAACAGCTGATTTCGACAGATGTTTTCTCTCTTCCTCTTTCGATTCGATCGTAACGCTGAATACCTAAGTTCGATTCTTGCGGAGCGGAATGCGGGAACGTAATTGAAATGCAGAATATGGCTGATTATAAAATACCACATTTGGTGTGAACATTAGGGTAAAGTGAACGAGTGTGGTTTCTGTTATTAAATTTATTTAATCTACCTGAATCCTGTATATTATAACTCGGTAAGGTTTAAGTCTTGTAATAACTCGCATTCGCTGAATTGGGAATAATCGTGTTCCAATTGACTCGCGCGATCTTTTTCTGGTAAGCCGATTTTTGAAGTGAAACTTCTTAGGCGGCGGTATCGCAAAAATGGAGACTGAAATTTTTTAAACTGAAAAGGTTACATGAGTAAAAAGGAAGATAGAGTATAGAGAAGGCAATTGCACTGAAAACGCATAAAAAAACTAATTCGGAAAAAAATTTGGATAGGGTTGCCACAATTCGAAAAAAAAAGGTTATATATAAAAATGGATTCCTTTCATGTGTTACCGCATCACTCGAGAACGGCTCAATGGATTTGCTTCGTTTTTATTTCATTTGTCTTTCTGTCTGTAGAAGGTTTATAAGGAGAAAATTGGAAAAATGATGTTTCCAGATACCTGCAATATCAGAAAAAAAATAATTATAAATGAGTCGCAATAATGCCATTTCACTGAGAACGTATAAAAAAAATTAATTCAGAAAAAAATTTCGGTCGGGTTGCTACCGTTCGAAAAAAAAATTTATGTTAAAAAGGATTGCTTTCGCGTGTTATCGCATAACTGAAGGCTCAAAGGATTTGCTTCGCTTTTATTTAATTTTGTGTCTCTGTCGGTAAAAAGAATGTAAAGAAAAATTGGAAGACCGGTGTTGCCACATATTTTAAATATAAAAAAAAAAAAAAATTTACATAAGCTGCAATAATGTACATTTCTGAGAATGCATAAACAAATTTAATAAAAGAAAAAATTTGAATAGGGTTGTCACCACTCGAAAAAATCTTTACATATAAAAGTGAATTGAAGTTCGTTTGTTATCGCATAACTCAAGAACGGCTCAACGGATTTGCTTCGTTTTTATTTCATTTGTAAGGTTTGTAAAGAAAAAATTGATAAACCGGTGTTGCCAGATATCTGTATTATCAAAAAAAATAATAATTTAAATAAGCCGTAATAAGGCTATTCCACTGAAAATGTATGAAAACACTAAAAACAGAAAAAAATTTGCATAGTGTTGCCACAATTCGAATAAAATCTCATGTCACGGTGTTTGTGGGCAACTGCTCCGAAATGGCTTGACCGATTTGTATGACATTTTTTGTGTATATTTGGAAATACATATATGAAATCTGTTGGTCCACCAACTTTTAAGAGCACCACCTGCCTTCTAAGAATCAAACGCTAGTTTCCAGTTGACAGTAGCTTTAAAAAACTATTTATTAAGGAGAGCAGTATTAACAAACAATTCAATTACTGGCAAATATGGTTCTTACTTTGGTTTTCCGATACAATAAATAAAGTATAATAGGCAAAGAAAATGGTAGTTCAATTCAATTTCAGCTATCGTCGCGTTGGTGTACATACACGCTGAAGGTTGTATTTTAATTGTCAATTTAAGGTTGCCACACTTTCACTTCTCGTTTTAATAATAAGGCGGTGTTGCAAAATTCTTCCCCCCGGTATAACAACCCTGGTAAGTTAATACCTTATGACGATGCAACGTCGCCGCTTGTCTCTCTCTTCACATCGAGTACCGCGATTTTTGCTACTGGACGGTGATATTCACCAGCCGGTGTGCGTATTATTGCGTACCTGACCATCCTTTCCTGCAAACGTGTTCTCCACAATGCCTTTAGGCCACGAATAGCGAGGTAGATTTGGGTCAGCAATGACTACTACGTCACCCTTTTCAATCGGTTTCACCTTGTCGAACCATTTGGTTCTCCTAGTCAGTGTCGGCAACATCTCCTTTTTCCAAAATTTGTCTGCCAAATACTGAGAATGCCGCCAGGAACGCCTTACAAATTGATCTACGGAAGAAAACTGGCCTAGTGGCTTATGTCCAGAGGAACTTCCCAGCAGAAAATGGTTAGGAGTTAAGGCTTCTTGTTCTGCGGTCTCTAGAGATAAGTATGTAAGTGGGCGACTATTTATAATACTCTCGATCTCTACAAATAAGTTGTACAATTTTTCGTCGTTAAGTTTTGTTTCCGGTGTCACGATACGGTATAGAACGTCTTTGAATGTTCTGATCATACGTTCCCAGGCGCCTCCCATATGAGGGCTTGCTGGGGGAATGAAAGTCCACTTCACTTCCGCGCTCGTAAACTGTTCTTGAAGATCGTGTAGATTAATTTGCTGTAAAGCTTCCCGTAATTCCTTTTCTGCTGCTACAAAATTTGTCCCGTTGTCAGTAAACACATGTATAGGTATTCCTCTTCGACTCATAAAATTTCTAATAGCCATTACACACGAATTCATGGATAACGAGTACGCCACTTCAACGTGTATAGCTCTACACGTCATACAAGTAAATAAAACTCCATATCGTTTCTCCGAACGCCTCCCAATGGTAACAGGAATGGTCCGAAAAAATCTATTCCAACAAATGAATATGGTCGTGTATACGGGGATAAACGTGCCTCAGGTAACAAACCCATTTTTGGTGGTACTGGCTTAGCATGGTACAACTTACAGTATTGACAATTGTGACGCTCTGTGCGTAATGCACGACGCAAGCTTGGTATATAAAACCGCTGAAACATTTCGTTGATTACAGTCTCGTGGTGGACATGCCTATATTTACGATGATACCATTCAATAATCAGTTGTGTAATTTTGTGGTTCTTGGGTAATATTATCGGATTTTTTACTGCATCCTTAATTGGTGCATTCTCTAGGCGACCACATCGACGTATAAGGTTGTTTTCGTCAACAAAAGGTGTCAGCTTTCGTAAAACACAATGTTTTGGCAAGTTGCAACCTGGGTCACCCTTAAGCAACTTAAACTCTTCAAAATATGCATCGGCCTGCGCGAGCCGATAAAGGTGGCATTGACTCCAGTATAGTTCCTCGGTGGTTAAGCTTTCGGATCCTACCTCCGAGCTGGTTAATCCTCGTATCTTGTCTTTACATTTATCTGCAAAACGTTTAACGTATGCCATGCACCTCTCAAGACGTTCCCACTTCGAAAAACGAGTTGGATCAATGAGTGGTTGACTCTCTATATGAGCGCCAATATACTCTACGTGCGGATTTAAATCAGCATCTTTGAAATGTTCCATGTCAATATCATAATTGTATTTAGGCCATTTTACACGCGGCGAATGTAGAAATTCTGGCCCAGCGAACCAAGTACTGGTTGGGCTAAACTCTGTGGTACTCTTCCACTTCGTGGCAGCATCTGCTACATTTAATTTTGATGGGATGTAGCTCCATTCTGTAACGTTTGTATGCTCTTGAATTTCAGCGACTCTAAACATAACAAATTGTTTGTACTTTCGTGGGTCTGATTTCAGCCATGTAAGCACTGTTCTCGAATCAGTATAAAAATACGCTTTATGAATCTTGAAGTCATGACCCTTGGTGATTTCAGTAGCAAGACGGGATCCCAGTACGGCGGCGAGTAGTTCCATGCGGGGAATTGAGATAGGTCGCAAGGGTGCTACCTTAGTCCTTGAGCTAACATGAGCAACCTGAACTTCGTCTTCCCTTGTAATGCTGAAATAAGCCACCGCTGCATTTGCCACCTCGCTAGCGTCCACGAATACGTGCAATTCTATCTTGCAATTATTGTTTGACATCTTACCGAAATAGCATCTGGGAACCTGAACTTGTTTGACCTGCTCAAAAAAAGATAACCACTGCTGCCACGCGTTCACATACTCTTCAGGAATTTGGTCATCCCAATCGATACCACTTCGCCAAATGTTCTGTAGCACAATTTTTAAACGGATAGTGTAGAATGATAAGAATCCTAGAGGATCATAGACTGACATGAGCAATCGCGGGATTTCTCTTTTAGTTGGCAGCTTTTGTCCGCCTAAAATCTCTTTGCCTGCTTTAGTGAACCTTGTACTGAAGGTAAACACATCTACACTCGTTCTCCACCATAATCGGAGTACCTTCTCTGGCTCTATAACTTGGTCGATCGTTTTTCCAGCGGTACAAAAATCGTCACTTGAACCAGCATTTCCCAGGGCGCCAGCTACATGATTCGAATTAGTAAGCCATCCTCTAATATGGAAGTTGCCTCGTTTGTGCACCTCAATCACGTCCTTGATTAACTTGACAGCCTCCTCTGCGGTTTCAACACTATCCAACATGTCATCTACGTAATGCCTTTCTGTTATTGACTTAGCAGCTCGTGGGAACTCGTCGGCATTCTCCCTCGCATTCCTACTACGAACGTACTGGGCGATTGAGGGTGAACAAGTAGCACCGAATGACATAACCTGTAACAGGTATGTGTTTGGATCTCGACTCGAATCACAATTACGCCAAAGAAAGCGCTGAGAATGCTGGTCCTCATCATGCACACTAATCCTGTGAAACATCTCGGATATATCACCACGAATGCCAATTTTTCCTATGCGAAAGTTGAACAGTACATGTATCAATGGTCGCTGTAGATCCGGTCCCTTCTCGAGGCAGCAATTGAGAGACCTTCCCTGGTGCTCAGCTGCTGCGTCCCATACTACTCGCGTCTTATTGGGCTTGTTTGGATTATTCACCGCAAATATGGGCAAATACCATTTACGTTTAAAATCTTGATTAATTTCGTTATCGCTGAGCTTCCGGATGTATTGCTTTTGTTCCATACGATTTATTAGGGAATTTACTCGATTTTTTAAATCGTCATCTTTGTTTAACTTCTTCTCGAAACAGACAAGTCTGCGCATGGCGGATTCAAAATTGTTCGGCAATACTATATTATCAGAGCGCCACAATAAACGGGTTGTAAAGTGATCGCCCGTTCGCGTAACGCACTTCTCTAGTATGTCTTGCTGGCTAGTCTTCTCATGTATACGTGCCACTACATGTGGTTCTAAGTTTTCAAGTTTCATGCTTTCTTTCACGAGCTTGTCGAGAGCTATGTTGTTGTCGCATTCACATACATGCAACTGCAGGTCGTTGTTTTTATAATGGTCCTGATCTGTAACGGTTCCGTACACTGTCCACCCCAGACGAGTTTTTGTTGCAGCGGGTTCGTGACTTTTTCCCTCTCTGAACTTCAGTGGCATGGCCACATGCTTGTTGTTCACCCCGATAATGATTTGTGGCACCACGTCTTTGTAAGACTCTACTGGCAGTCCCTTCAGATGTTTATACTTGTTGGACATCTCTGACATTACTAGCGTTTGCGCAGGCAAGTCAAGCTTCTTGACAGTGCGAACATCATTCAGCGTAAACATCTTGTTCTATCCCTTTGCTGACACTTGCAGGTTGATGAGCTCCGAGTCGTTTTCTACTCTAATGGACCCATCAATCCAGCGAAGACGCAGCTGACGTACTTCGCCTTTAAGTTGCAACATTTTCATAACTTCGTGTTCAATAATGGTTGGACCTGATCCGTCATCAAATAAGGCATACACGTCAACGGCGGCGTGCTGGCTATGGATCGTGATTGGTAC